GCGTAAGGACACCGACTAACACCTCTACCGACTAGGTAGGGTGAAACACCCCCTCCACCATCTTGCTTACCCAAATAGACTCCCTTTTTCCACTCATTTGCCAAACAACCCCAAGCATTCCCCTTCCCAAAGCTTTGCACTTTGGCCACTAAACTTTCTCCCTCTTCTCACTTTGTATCCCATCCCTCCAATCTCTACACCTTGGCCCCATACACCTTATCCCACTTTAAACCTCATCTCTCCAGTATTTACACCTTAGCCCTATAACTATATTTCTCAGTTCAATTTGCACCCCCAACTTTCTTTTTTTCTCAATTCAAGCCCCAAAAACATTGCCATGGGCTTCGATTATTTCTTGGGCCCAATTAGCTCATAGATCTCCCCTTCTTGACCCAATTGACCTTGAGCTTAGACCCTATGACTCCATCAAAACCAATGCATTCTTACTTTACAAGCTTAAATAAAAAATAATAATATAGAAAGAATAAAAAATTAAAAATAGAGATAAAAGTAATGTGGGTCTAGTCCAACCTGGCCCAGGTGGTCGAATATGTCCTTGTGTATAAGATTTTGACATGCCACCCTAGTCACAGTGGTATATTGGTCGTGCTTGGATTGGCCCGTGAAGGTTTACGCATGTGGCTATCAAAGTGGACCTAACTTACATTGCTTTCTTTATATAAAGGAGTGCCTTATGATGAGGATCCAAAGGTTTATAGGGAGAGGATTTATCCTTAATTTGATATAGATGACAAATTTATAAATTATAGATCTCATTTGTTTCTATGATTGATAAAGTTCATGAAATGTGAAGCTGTCCAGAATTAACAGATGGTCATGATGTTCAACACAAGACAATAATGAGAGATATGATGAAGTCATAAAAGTTACCTTTTATTATTGTAGAAAATTGAATTTTAATTTTTATGTGTCAACATCTTTTAGATTATTTTTATTTATTTATTTGTGGGCCTAAAATATAACATGCCCAGCCTTTTTCTTTAATTCCCTTATAAGGACTTTCCCACCATTATAGATCATCAATATTTTAACATTTAACAATTAGATCACCATTTTTTTTGAAAGGGATCACCATTCTTTTATGTCACATATAATTGATACAAGTGATGAGGTCCTCAATCTCATGATGCCATGCCCCTTGTTTTAGCTATTAATTAATTACTATTATGCATAATCTCCTACTACTTTTATTTGTCCTCCTTTTATTGGTCATGAAAAGATGCTTTGATCAATAACACGGGGAAGGAAAACTAGCTTGGAAACAAAAAGGTAATTAAGAAATCTAGAATGTTAAAAATGAAGTATTATTGCGAAAGATTAGCATCCTTAATAGTTTCGTTTTTGCATAAATTTTAAGGTGCTAAGTAGGAGAGAAGGAGGGAGGGAAAATTTTTTTTAAAAAAATAAAAAATTAAGCGATGTTAATGCGCCCAGCGGGCGAGTGGAGCGCAGACACTCTACTGGGCACTTTGGTGCCATTCACGCGTAAGGGGGGCAGTCTGTTGTTTTCTAAGTAGGGTCCACTGCTGAGACAAAAAAATTAATCTTCCTGCAACTATATCTTACATTCTCTCACATCCTCCTCTCACTTTCACCTAGAATTAAAAGTCTCAAAAACAATCCTAAAAACACTAGTGTGATTCCTCTAAAGAAATGAAGAATATTATGTCTACGAGGTCCTAGTTTTTCTATCCAATAGAGGGGACCCTATTTATAGGCAACAAATCTATCCCCTTAAATTATAGTAGTTTCATTTAAATCCAAGGTATCTATGGTACAATATGACTCAAATATGTACTCTTAACAAGACATTGATCATGTCCATGCCTCATGTTGCCCATTAGGATTTAGGGCTAGGATATCCTTTTCCTCCGTGCATTATTACACATGTGCCGATCATCTTGGACCATATATCAAGCCTATGACCTCGGGCTACGCAAATTATACCATAGACCATGGTCCACCTTGTATTGAAAATCTTGGTCCAAAATAATATTCAGAATATGTGATGTAGTTAATATATTATGTGTTTTCAGTTAATAAATTATGCACATATAAATAAATTGAAGATACATAATATGTTAACTGTATATACATAATATCTTAATTGTAGTATGTACATAATTATGTGCCTACAATTAATAAATAATGTACATGCAATTAGCATTTATATTGTGTCTTCAATCTATTTATATGTGCATAATTTATTAATTGAAAGTACAAAATATGTTAGGCAAATGTTACTGTGGATTGTGGTCCATGTAGCAGCGTAGACCGGGTAAGAAAACTATGTTGTTTAAAGTTTTTTCTGTTAATAATGGTAGATGACAAATTTCGTTATGGTCCATGTAGCAACCTCTCTCATTATTCAGTTTAATTTTATACCCAATATAGTTTCATTTCAGCACCACGTATAGTACTACAATATCATTATTATTCAACTACAGTTTCATTTAATAATATACACTCAATATGTGAGACATGCTATTCAGTTTCATTTTATATACACTATAGTTTCAATACAACACTACCAAAGTATCATTTTAATTAAACTAAAGTTTTATTTAACAATATACATTCAATATGTGAACACTTGTTATTCAGATTCATTTTGTGCACGATGCAGTTTCATTATGGCACTACTAAAGTATCATTCTTATTCAGCTACAGTTTCATTTGACAATCTATACTCAATATGTGAGACATGTTATTCAATTTAATTTTATACATGATGTACGGAAAATAGGTGGTGAGTATACGAGTGTAAAATTGACATTCTGCAAGGGATTGAGACTATGGCATATACTTGAGTGACAACTAAAGTCCTAGACACCATGGAATCCACAGGAATCCAAGCAAGTTCAAATTCATGGTTGGGTAAATGTCAAACAATTAGAGGCTAAAAGTCTAATTTAAGATAACACAAATTAAACACAATAGTAAGATATGGGCTCAAATTAGGGAATGTTGCATTCTAGATGCTTTAACAGCTTACCGAGCGTTTGGTTGGAGAGGGGGAATTACGTGGGAAAGGAATTGCAATTCCATGGGAGATGAATTAATGGGAATTTAAATTCTAGTGTTTGGTTTACAGGAATAGAATTACTGGGAATTTCAATTCCAATGTTTGATATACATGGGAATTGAAAGGGAATAAGTAGTATAAAATAAAAAATGACCACTGTTGTTATGCATTAATTTTAGGTTACAAAAGGAAGGGGTAATTTTGACTCATCACCATCTTTTTTTTCTTTCTAAAATCCTAGGAATTAAAATCCTGGGGGCGACATGGGATTTTAATTCCGTGAAAATAGGGGAATTGCAATTCCTTTCAACCAAACAAGGGAATTTTGTGGTCTTTGGAATTAAGTGGGAATTAAGTGGGAAGAGAATTTAAATTCCCTTCAACCAAACGCCCTGTTAGGGGATTATGGGAGAACAAAAACCAAGGGAACATAATGGCAATGCACATAAAAATCCTAGCTTAAAGCCACTTTCATAAGCTATTGGTGAGGATTGCCCACTTTCATTAGAGTGAGGATTGCCACTCTCGTGGTGTATCAATTCCTAACTCTTAAAGCACATAAGCATTTAAGGCCCCAATTGTTCCCTATTTCTATAGAAAGAAAATGAGTATGAGAAAGGAGAGGCTTAAGTTCATCACCCAACTCTCATTGAGGTGAAAAACTCTCCAAAAGCAAGTTAATAAAAGTTACATATCAAGTATTAACAAGATTTAACAAGAAACCTTCACAAACAAATGAACCCTAGGTTAGAGTTCTTCCCCATTATGAAATAATCACCTATTTAGCATCTAGGTTGACAAAATCACCCTAATCCGAGCCCAAAAATAAACTACTCACACTTCATAAACACAACTAACAAAATAGTACAAGAAAATATCATCAACATTGCACAAGATAATAAAAGAAGAGTAAGAAAGTTTCTCTATTGAAAGATGAGAAAGTCATGGTTGAATTCCACTCAAATATGTGATTACAACCTTGGTAGATGAGTTAGAGATGTAATATTAGACTAATCTAAGCTAAGGATGTATGAGGAAATGAGGAGAAATTAGCTAAAACTATCTAGTGTTTGAACTCTCCCAAAATACAGAACAATACGTGTTTAAATACTGCCAAAGTCCGCACAGTGACACGAAATTAGTCAAAATGGCAGGCACACTGCCTCTGGTTGGTACGGCCGTGCCAATCCCTTCAGGCACGACTATGTACACGGCCGTGCCAGTTCTCCTGGAAACCCACTTTCTTGGTTTGTTGCTCCAATTCTCCATTCCTTCTTTCACTGCTACCTTGACTCCAAAATCCAAAGTAGACTGAAAATGCTCCATTCTTTACTCATTGTGAATAATTGTACCCAAGAAAACAAATCACACAAATGAGTCTTAATTTACACTTAGTTTTGGGCACTTTATATACATAATAGATCGACCAAAAACAAGGGGTGAAATAAAGTCAAGAATAAGTGTTATCAATACACACTGCAGTTTCTTTACAACACCACTAAAGTATCATTCTAACTCAATAAAAGTTTCATTTAATTAACAATATACACTTAATACGTGAGATAGCTTTCAAAATATATGATTCAACTTAATGTTTTATATAATTAGCTCATAAAATTGTACCATGCAATCCATTGAAATAACTATTTATCGATTTGATCTCATCCAATCATTAACCTATACATTATTAGTCAATCGTTAAGCCATCGCTATATATGTAATTGTACGTAGCTTCGATGCATTTAATTGTTTGATTGTATGTTGTGTTGTTGAGGTTATAAAACAATGAAATATGCATGACGCACAAGGGTATTCTTTTTGCATCATGCTTTCAAGATTTATTACTAAAATAACATGCCATTATTAATTAATCTATATAGTTTATATGTCAACAATAAGGGCTGTTCTTTTTTTTTTTTTTAACCCAATTAAATTAGGGAGACTAATCGTGAAAATGACATCTCTTTTACTCTCTGTACTGGTACGTTTCTTCCATGAAGATTCTTTCCTCAATTGCCCTTGATGTTACTTCAACTTTCCAATATATTCAACTCTATCATAAACCATATACCTAAGCTTTGATCAAACCGAAAGTTTAGTTGTGTTCTTTTTTCTTTTTTGTCTTTTGATTTTTCACTGTATCTAATTTTATTTTGTATGATATTTTTTTTTTAAAAAAAGCTGAATTTTTAATTTCAAGCTGCGCTAGATATTTTATAATTAAATAAATTGAAACTTGCTTTGATTCTGAGAATGATTATTTATATACTACCTTAATGTTATCGTAGTACATACGTGTATATGCCAAAAGAAACAAGATATTAAATGGAATGGGAAGATGGATGAAGCTATAGCAAGTTTGGTTGAGTAAGAAACATATGAAGAGATCATTCATAAATTTAATTTTTACGAAGAATATATTAGTATAGGTAGAAATTAAAATATTTACATCAAATTCAAAGGTCCAAAATCCATTGCGAATGCACCATTCCAGGACATTTAGAGGCTCAAACTACACCACGTAAGACTACTTTTTAGTAATCTTATCTAAAATGACATGGCACATTAAACGGACTTTAAGGGAAAAAAAAAAAGCTAAGAAAGAAAAGTAGACTACTTGCTCCAAATCATGTATAAAGCTAGTGATGTATCTCTACCTATCTAATTCACATGCATTATAAAATTAACTAATGAATAAATATAATATGAAATGTTATGACAATTAAATCAGTTATATTATCTGACAAATGATTTAATTAAAAAAAAAAAAAAAAAAAAAAAAAAAAAAAAAAGTAGTGCAAAGTATCAAATCATGCATGGTTTGCTTCCAACTAAATTTGTGCATTTGGATGAGTGAAAAGCCCAAACTCTTGATGATAAAACAATGGTAGAATTGAAGTCAAATATATTTTGGCCTATGTTTGGTAAGTAACTAAATCTTGATGGTACATAGCCATATACTATTGCTACTTGACATGGAATTAATGCTTTACAAATAATAATAATAATAAATTAAAGTCCCCCTCCAATATTAACACAAGAAAGTTTATAGGAAAATGTAGCAATGCCTAACTTTGTTGCTTTGCAACTAACAAATGTGGAAAGTAGGAATAATGTCAAACTTTGTGAATGGACTGAAAATGAACCACTTTTATGTTAAGGGCATACCAAACAATAATAGCTTTTTAAATGCATGTTTGAATCATTCCATCATGTTTCTTGTCAAAATTATGAATGCCCGTACAATGAACCTTTGATTATTTTTTTATTTTTATTTTTTTGAATGCACAATGAAGCTTTGATTAATTAATCTTTTTGAAAAAAAAAATGGATGGAAGAGTTATGTCATAGTAAGTAATCTATCTATTACTATTAAAAAGGAGTTGGAATATTGTCTTTTTCATTAATTAAAATCAGCATAAATAATTGCATTAATTAATTTATACAATAGAGAAAAAGATACAAAAATTTAATATAATTCTAGTAATAATCCAACAAGCTAAGCTATCTTATCTTCATATCTTGTAGGAAGTGTTCAATGTGTGATTGTATAATTGTAATGTTTTACTTTGCTCAATGCTTTACGCACCAACTGAAAAATGAAGGATCACTGTTGAGCGACAACTTGGAGGATTAATTAAGTTTAATATCATGTCATCAAAATGTAATACTGATTATTATGCAAGTAGAAAAAAATAAAGTTGTACCGATTGAGTTGTGCATATTGTGCAGTTAAGGCTGGCAAGTACTAAGAGAAAATTGTTGGGAGGCGGTAGAAAATTAAGTTATGCATTCACTATTAAATATAACTTTTGACATTGTGGTAAGCAATTGATCTGTCAAGCACCTTATTTATATTAGTCCATTAACTTTAGTTTTATCCCATTGGTAAATTTATGAATTCTTATTTTTTATGATTAAGATGGATCTTTACCCTGAGTAATTATGAATAAAGTATCTTAGCTTAGGGTCCGTTTGGAAAGCAGGAAAATGACTTCTGGAAAATGTTTTCTGGAAAATGAGTCATTTTCCGGAAAACATTTTCCTTTCCAGTGTTTGGTTGTATTCTGGAAAACTGTTTTTGTGTGTTTGGTTCATTTTCTGGAAAATGAGTAGAATTGTATAATTAAACATTTTAATTATTTTATTTAGAATATTACAACATATATAATAATATATAATAATAATAATTTTAAATATAATAAAAAAAACTAATAATATATCAAAAATATTATGGTGGTGGTAGTGGTGTTATTTGTTATATAATAATAATAATAATAATAATAATAATAATAATAATAATAATAATAATAATAATAATAATAACTGGTGGTAGTGGTGGTGGTGGTGGTGGTGTGGTGACGGTGGTTGTAGTGGTATGGTGGTGGTGGTGGTGGCGGCGACGGTGGTTGTGGTGGTATGGTCGTGGTGGTGGCGGCGGTGGTGTGATGTTGGTGGTGGTTGCGGTGGTATGGTGGTGGTGGTGGTATGGTGGTGGTTGTGGCGGCGACGGTGGTTGCGGTGGTATGGTGGTGGTGGCGGCGACGGTGGTTGCGGTGGTATAGTGGTAGTGGTGGTGGCGGCGACGGTGGTATGGTGGTGGTGGTGGTGGCGGCGACGGTGGTATGGTGGTGGTGGTGGTGGCAGCGGTGGTATGGTCGTGGTGGTGGCGGTGGTGGTGTGATCTGGTGGTGGTGGTTGCGGTGGTATGGTGGTGGTGGCGGCAGCGGTGGCACGGTGGTGGTGGTGGCGGCGACGGTGGTTGCGGTGGTATGGTGGTGGTGGTGGCGGCGACGGTGGTTGCGGTGGTATGGTGGTGGCGGCGGCGGTTGTAGTGGTGGTGGTGGCGGCGACGGTGGTTGCGGTGGTATGGTGGTGGTGGTGGTATGGTGTTGATGATGTTGGTGATGGTGTGATGTTGGTGTAAAAGTTGGAAAATGACTTCCCCCCAAAAAAAGGGGAAGTCATTTTCCTCCAAAACAAGCCTATTTTCCAAAGTCAACGGAAAATTATTTCCGTTGACTTGATTTTCCAGGCACATCCAAACAGTGAAAACTTGGAAAATGATTTCCAGAACTCATTTTCCAGGTTTCCAAACACACCCTTAATTAACAAATATATTTAATATTGAACTAGTCTTTTGCGATTTTTTTTTTTTTTTACTTAAACTTAGTACCTATCCTAAGGTTACAACAATAACAAGAAGTTGAATGCAATGCAAGAAGCATGCATATGATGACTAGTTCTCTATTTGGGGTTCAATGGGAAACATATGGTGGAAAATAGCTACATACATACATACATAAAAGTTGTGATTGCATCATACTTTTTAAAATTCAATTAAAATCTAATATTCCGGCCAAGTCATAAAGGCATAATTTTCCAATTGAATCCAAGCATTTCGATCTTGACCGTCAAATGTTTGTATAGTAAGGTGTCATATTAGTGCGTACAATGAACTAAAATTTCAAAATGTTTGCTGTGTGTTTTGTCATTGTAGACTAATGTATGACAAAGAAAAGACTATTCATTTCTTATTTTATTTTTTATTTTGTACATGTGATGTTTTTTTTTTTTTTTGAAAATGTACATGTGATGTTTTGATTTACTAAAGGTTCATTATTTAATATCTACATCTATCTACATCTACATCTATCTACAATTCTAATAAGAGCGAATAATGTTAGGCCCTTAACTGGAACATAAAAAAATGTCGGTGTAATTGTTTCTTAAAACGAATGGTTCATATTATTTTGATTTTAGTATTTTTTTTTAATGTGTTTTCCTTATTTACCCTATATTATATTATTTTCTTTCCTTAATGTCGGTGTGATGATACTGATAGTTAGTATGAAATAGATGGTAACATATCAAATATTGATGACTTTGAATTTGATCAGAATGTGGATTCTACAGTTGAGTTTGGTGGGGTAGAAGGTATTTCTAGTGAACCAGTTGGTGTGAATAGTTGGGAGAGAAATTTGGACGAACCTAATCTATCTGATGATGCATCATTAAAAGACTCAGATAGTGATGTAGAGGGTGGTAAGTGGCCTATTTTTAGGGCAGCTACTGATATGAAAGAGCCTCATTTAATCCTAGGATTGACTTTTTCTAGCAAAGAAGAGTTTAAGGAAGCTGTGACCAATTATGCCTTTAACAATGGAAAAGATGTAAAAATTGTTAAGAATGACAAAGCCAGACTAGTTGTTAAATGTAGGGATAGTAGTTGTCCTTGGACAGTAACTCTAAGAAAGCAACAGAATTCTTTGAATTGGAGCATCCTTAGATTGACAGATAAACATGATGGATGTTGTTGGACTTCTGAGAATTCAAGAGCAACGTCAACTGTAGCTGCAAAGAGGTGGAGTAAGGAGATTGCACATCATGATGACTGGAAAATGGAAAAATTTAGGCAAAAGGTGTGTAATAAAGATGAAAAGTTTCATATTAGTACACATCAAGCTTATAGAGCAATGAAGAAAGCTAAAATTCAAATTAGGGGTAATCTAGATGATAATTTCAAAAAGATTTGGAGTTACCGCCAAGAAATTATCAGGACTAATCCTATGACAATCTGTGAGGTGAAGCTCAGTGACAATGTTGAACTTTGTGGGGGAAACAGATTCCTTAGACTGTACATGTGTTGGGATGGATATAGGCAAGGTTTCAAATTTTGTAGGCCAATCTTGGGAGTGGATGGAACTCATTTGAAGTCTGGAATTGGGGGGTTAATTCTGACTGCAGTTGGACTTGATGCTAATGACTCAATCTTCCCTGTTGCATATGCCATTGTTGAGGGTGAAACAAAACAGTATTGGGTGTGGATTTTTGAATTCTTTAAAAAAGACTTAGAAATCAGTGAGGGGAATGAACATGAATTTACCTTCCTGTCAGATAAACAAAAGGGTTTAATAGAAGCATTTGAAGTGGTTTTGCCTAGAGTTGAGCACCGATTTTGTGTTAGGCACCTTCATGGGAATATGAAGGTTGCGGGATTTCAAGGAAAGGCATTGAAGGATGCACTATTTTGTGTTACATACTCCTTTTGTAAATGATGTGAGATCATTTTGATCACACATTGAAAATGTTTGAAACGAGAGAGCTTATTTATATAAGAGGAGCAAAACTCCTCTTACAAACATAATTACTTGCACATCAATGTGGGCAAATATTGAGAAGTCAAAATGTTCTTATTTAAGAAGCTTTAGCGTTGTCTTCTTATTTTAGTTTTTATTAATTTATTTATTTATTATTAGTGGGGGTTTGGATAGATTAACCCAAAATGTATGTGTTGTTTTAGTTTTTAGCAGTTTGGAGCAAATTGCTAAGTTATTAAATAAAATTTTAGTTTTTTTTGATTAAATATAAAATATTAAACAGATAAATTTCTTAAAATTTTGGTGAATTTGCCAAATAATCAAATTACAACAAAACAACAACAACAACAACAACAACAACAACAACAATAATAATAATAATAATAATAATAATAATAATCTAAACAAAACTATATACAAAATAAAATTAAAATTAACAAAAAAAAAAAAAAAAAAAAAAAAAAAAAAAAAAAAAAGGCAAAGGGGAGCCACATGCTCTCTTTGTAAATGATGTGGGTTCATTTTCATCCCAAATTGAAAATGTTTGAAAAGATGAGCTCCTGAGCTGTTCTATGACTATATAAGATGTACAAACATAATTGTTTGCCCATCGATGTGGCGAGTATTGAGAAGTCAAAAGGTTCTTATTTAAGAAACCTTAGTTTTGTCTTCTTATTTTAGTTTTATTTATTTATTATTTATTATTTATTATTGGGGGTTAGGAAAGATTAACTCAAAATATATGTGTTGTTTTAGATTTTAGCCGTTTGGAGCAAATTACTTAGTTATTAAATAATATTTTTGGTGTTTTGATTAAAGATAAATTGTTAAAATGACGAATTTGTCAATAATAATAATAATAATAATAATAATAATAATAATAATAATAATAATAATAATAATAATAATAATAATAATAATAATAATAATAATCCAAACAAAACGATATACAAAATAAAATTAAAATTTAAAAAAAAATAAGGAGAAGACAAAAGGGAGTCACGGGCTCCCTTTGTAAATAATGTGGGATCATTTTGATCTCACATTGAAAATGTTTGGAAAGAGGAGCAATGCTCCTCTTACAAACATAATTGCTTGCCCATCAATGTAGGCAAGTAACCTGAAGGGTGTGGTTGAGTGTAAGGGGACTCGTCCATCCTTAACCAAAGGTCAAGGGTTCGATCCTTGGATTTGGGAATGGAGCAGCCTCAAATCTCTAAGCCAGTTGTCCCACCCAAAAGAGGTGTTTACAATTTAGCGAGGGGATTAGTCACTGTGTCCAACGATGGAAACCCTGGGTTTACCAACAAAAAAAATCAATGTGGGCAAGTATTGAGAAGTCCAAAATCTTTTTTTTTTTGTTAGAAGTAAAGGAAAATTAAAAATGGAAATGAAATATTTTAATAATAATATTTTACATAATCAAATAGTAAAGACATATTTTAAAAATAGTAAAGATAAATTAAAAATGGAACGAAAATATTTCATTAATAATATTTTACATCATCCAATTAAAATGGAACGAAAATTAGGTAAAAATATCACTGCATCTATATTCTAATTGACTGATTGATTGGAAATAAAAATGAATAATTAACTGAAAATGAATCTAATATTACTAATTGACTGAAAATATAAAAGAAAATGAATATTAATAATTGACTGCAAATAAAAAATGATCTATAATTGACTAAAAATGGTAAGATCATTGCATTTTAATTTAAAATGGAATGAAAATTAAAAATTGGAGGAAAATATTCCAATCATAATATTCTACATTATCAATAGTAAATGCATATTTTAAACAATAGTAAAGGTAAATTAAAAATGGAACGGAAATATTTCAATAATAATATCTACATCATCAATTACAAATGGAACGGAAGTTAGGTAAAAATATCACTGCATTTGATATTCTAATTGATTGAAAATCAAAAAGAATAATTGGCTGAAAATGAATCTGATATTACGAATTGACTGAAAATATAAAAGGATAACTAATTGAGTGATATTCTAACATTATATATTTTCACCCAAGTAACCCGTCCTGATGGAGAAGATGTTAGCTCTAGGCGAAGATGAACAAGATTGTGTTGTCACTACCAATGTCGTCTACAAAGAGGTTTCAATAATGTGTAAATATAATCGGTGATATTACTTTTTTTTTTAAATGAAAAAATTGCTATATATCTAGACAAAAAAATATATCTTCCATACAAATGAATATGGATAGCAATTCATTTCTATAACTGAGTTGTTAGAGAACGAGCACATTTACCTAATGTATGAAAATACTAAACAATGATAAAAAAAAAAAAAAAAATCTTCAAAATTATAGGACCGCATCTGTACATCTAGACATTAGCTATTAATTTGAGCAATAATTTTGCACAAATTCAAGCAATGATAACATCAAAATATATAAACGATTCAAATCATATCTTTAAGTGCACTATATAATATTTGATTTTCTAATTTAAATAATTATATATCGATTCATATATTCTTAATATATTACAACATATTCATTCTGTGCATCGCACGGGTGCACAACCTCAAAAACTCTATTATTCTACCTGAAATTCATTGAAGTTTCAAGTTGAAAATGTGGAATCCGCCGCTCCCCAAAAATCGCATTGTTTGAGGTGTTGGAATGGCCGGTGTTGACTTCCTGGCTGCTGTAGCTTCATTCCCCAACCCGGATGATAAAATTCGGAGCACCAGCTTTGAGGTTCAAGGAGGTGGTAACACTGGCAATGCTTTGATAAAACCCGGATGATAAAATTCGTGTTGGTCTTAATTCAAGGATCATATCTAAGGTTGCTGATGACTCGCATGGCGAAAGAATACTTGATGAGCTTGAAAGGGATGGTGTTGATACATCTTTTATGGTGGTGTCCAAAGGAGGAAACTCACCATTCACATATGTCATTGTTGACAACCAAAAAAAAAAAAAAACTCGCACGTGCATTTTCACTCCAGGATATCCACCCATGATATTTGAGGATCTACATACCCAAATCAAAATTTTAATTTCTTCAACGCTTGGAGTAAATATTGTCTACTTAGATGGAAGACTGCATGAGACTGCTTTGATTGTAGTGCAGGAGGCAAAGAGTAGGGGCATACCTATTATAGTTGATGCAGAAAGGTTAAGGGAGGGGTTGGGTGATATTCCTGACTTTGCTAGTTATGTTGTATGCTCGACAAAATTTCCACAGGCATGGACTAACGCCCTTTCTATTCCAACTGCACTTGTTTCCATTATCTTGAGATTGATGTCAAATGTAAAATTCGTGATTGTTAGTTGGGTGAAGATGGTTTCTTAATATTAGAAAGGACTGAAGCGGATAACCTTAGTTTGAAGAAATAGATGTAGCAGTGACCAATAGATGGAGAAATACAAGGATTAGAACATAAAAAGACAGAAAAACTCATCTAATTCACGGTCAACAAACGGCGTCATTGACGGAGGATGAAAACTGTCCAACGATCAATAACAGTGGCTACTAAGTGACAATTTTTATTATGGAGGATGAAAAGTGTCAATGCCCCAATAAGTCTAGGACCAAAAATGGCATTAACTCTTGTATTCCGTGAGTCACAATAATAATATAACAATAATTAAATATTGTTCAATTCTATATTCTTCTAGGATTTCTATTACCATCATTAATTATTCCCAAATTTACCATAATTAAATAATTTGACCAATTATAAAGAAAGATTATTAAATAATGCATGAGACAATAGTTTAATTAAAATTTTCAAAAATTCATTAAAAAGATATAAGAATCTCATAGTTTTTTCTTAGAAACTCTTTAATAAAATATTTTTTTTTTTAGAAATTGGTGGGCCAAACCGCCTACAGCAGTTTGCGGTGGATAGATCTCGAAAAAATACGCAATTTCAAAAAAATATTTGTTCAAAACGGACAACGGAGTCAAAAGTTATGCCTTGCCGAACTTTTGACACTTTAAAACTTAAAAAAAAAAAAAATTAAAGGCCGGTTTAGCCGCCGAGGCGGCCGTTGAGGAGGCCAGTTCCAGCCTTCCTCGCCGCGGCCAGCGACACGATTTTTGCAACACTGATATATAAAATAGATATAGATTAGAATAGGAATAGTAATACACTATTTTATAATATTAGAATAGAATTTTAACCCAGAATTATTGTACGAATGGGAAAGTAGAAATCAATATATTTTATTAGGAAGAGAGATTTTTTAGGAATTGGGCGGGAAGTTAAAATTTCAGGATTTTGTTTTTATATATAGTATAGATTGTATTACACTATTTTATAATATTAGAATAGAATTTTAACGCAGAATTATTGTACGAATGGGAAAGTAGAAATCAATATATTTTATTAGGAAGATATATTTTTTAGGAATTGGGCGGGAAGTTAAAATTTCAGGATTTTATTTTTATATATAGTATAGATGTATTACACTATTTTATAATATTAGAATAGAATTTTAACGCAGAATAATTGTACGAATGGGAAAGTAGAAATCAATATATTTAATTAGGAAGAGAGATTTTTTAGGAATTGGGCGGAAGAGTTAAAATTTCAGGATTTTGTTTTTATATATAGTATAGATTGTATTACACTATTTTATAATATTAAAATAGAATTTTAACGCAGAATTATTGTACAAAAGGGAAAGTAGAAATCAATATATTTTATTAGGAAGAGAGATTTTTTAGGAATTGGGCGGGAAGTTAAAATTTCAGGATTTTATTTTTATATATAGTATAGATTATAGATTATAGATTGTATTACACTATTTTATAATATTAGAATAGAATTTTAACGCAGAATTATTGTACGAATGGGAAAGGAGAAATCAATATATTTTATTAGGAAGAGAGATTTTTTAGGAATTGGCCGGGAAGTTAAAATTTCAGGATTTTGATTTTATATATAGTATAGATAGATTGTATTACACTATTTTA